GTCACTAATCACCATGCTGTACACACACCCTCTCAACCAGGTCACTAATCACCATGCTGTACACACACCCTCTCAACCGGGTCACTAATCACCATGCTGTACACACACCCTCTCAACCAGGTCACTAATCACCATGCTGTACACACACCCTCTCAACCAGGTCACTAATCACCATGCTGTACACACACCCTCTCAACCAGGTCACTAATCACCATGCTGTACACACACCCTCTCAACCGGGTCACTAATCACCATGCTGTACACACACCCTCTCAACCGGGTCACTAATCACCATGCTGTACACACACCCTCTCAACCGGGTCACTGTGTGTCGTGCGCAAAAGAACAGCACATGCAGGCCACTGTAACAATCTCAATGTCCACGTGAAAACGAGAGAGTCACACCCCTCCTTTCCCCAAGGTGAATGAATCTAGGGCGAGAGATTTGCAGTTTAAAAGATACCATGTGCCAGTGCTTTAGGAAAGTAGAAATCATTTATATAAATGGCTGCTTTGGAAATTGCGGTGCCTTGAAAAATGAAATAAAAGGTGCTTTGAAAATAGAAGTACGAAGGCAAAGAGACAGTAAAAATGAACAAGTGCAGGAATAAAAAACGAGCAGAATGTGATTACGCATACCGGTTCAACCGGCAACGGCAATTATTTGTGAAAATGGCTGCTGTGAAAATAGCACTTCCTTAGAAAAATTTAAGGAGTTGCCCTTTGAAAAAGCATTGCAAAAAGTGAAAAAGGGCAGCCAAAGTGAAAAAGGATAGGCAGAAATGGGGCCGCGCAGAAGCTGATAATTCTATGAGCATACCGGTTCAACCGGAAAAGAATTTAAACAAATGTTCCGCTATTCGACATGATGACGTCGGACTAGTGCACTGCTTTTCCAGCAGTGTCTAAGCTCAAATAGTCAAATACGGACCTAAAGCGAGGTTCTAAGTCACAGAGATGGAATGTAGAGATAATGAGAATAAAAAGAAATTGAATGACAATTCAACACAACTCAGACAATCTATCTAGACTCTACACATGGGTCAGGTACTGTGCATGGAGCGAAGGGCACGCGCGGGGGAATCCAGCATTCTGGTTCCGTGCCACTTTGCCCCAGCACGCGGGGCCCATGGTGCTGCACTGCTAAGGAGTGAAAAAATACTTTGTGATCATGTACCAATAAAAGGAGCTAAGTAGAAGCTAAGGGAGAGCAGTCTCTAGCGAGTCATGTAGCAATTGAAAGACCAAGAAGAAGAAGAAGAAAGGCATATTCAAAGGAAGTAGTGCTTACGATAGCGAATGCAGCAGGCAAATGAAGAATATCGCGACTTAATGAGTGAGTGGGAGCGAGAGACTGGGTGAGAGCGAGAGCAAGCGAGAGTGAGAGAAAGTGATGGAGAAAGCTCAGTCTAGAGTCTGAGGTGAAGCAGAAAAACGGACAGAAAGACGTAACGGCAGACAGACAGAAGGACTCACAGGAAGAGAGAGAGACAGACAGAACAAATTCTCGCCGCGATCCAGTGTTGATCAATCATGGCCACCATCACCACCATCATCCTGTGTCCATACACAAGAAAACAACAAGACGCAGTAATAACTAATTGTACTACACGTACACAGGGCAGAACAACAGAGACGAAAAATCCTTCTCGTGATTCCGAGTTTCGTGCTTCAAAAAACACTCATCAGACGAATGATGAGTGTTTTTGAAACACGAAACTCGGAGTTACGAGAAGGATTTTTGGTCTCTGTTGTTCTGCCCTGTATGGTAGGCTCTGCCCCTTTTTGAGGTATTGAGCAGTGTTTGCAGCAAAGACTACAGACACTTTGTGTACTGTATGTACAGTAAAACCTGGTGTAAGCGACCTCTGGTTTTAGCCACCATCTGCTCTTAACGACCGTTTTTCCATGCACCGACAGATCTACACTGATCCTGTTGGACCTGGTTCCAACGACCACCTGGCTTTAACGACCGCTTTTGCTTGCACCTAGGTACCATGGGGTGGTGCTTGCACCGTGGTACCGTGGGGTGGTGCTTGCACCGTGGGGTGGTGCTTGTACCGTGGGGTGGTCTCTTAAATCAGGTTTCACTGTACAGTGATGGCAACTGAAATCCGACCCCTGACTTTCATGCTCGAGTGCGGCGCCGATTATATAGTGCGTTTCAAGAATATAGATCTCTAGACTTTTTCACATAATTCAAATTCGGTTGGAGCTTTTTCAGAAATTTCTTCGGGATATTGCTCAGGCAGCTCCCCCAATGTTACTCATATTTTAATTTGAAACCTACTAACTTTCTAGGCGATTGGATAACACACGTCCATTTTCGGAAAATTGTTATGCACAAAATGATCACAGATTATGTGGTATAATATATGCTGGCCCAAGGTTCTTTTTTGAAACTTTTGAACACACAGTAGCGGTCTCTTGGCAGTGTAGAAACGTGTGCTGGTTTGTTTTTGGAATCAATGTGAGTGCACCGAGCTGGGGTCGGATTTCAGTCGCCACCATTGTAGTTAGTATTAGAGCGGGACAGCCATGACGTGAACAACACAACAATGTATACTGTACACTGCATGGCAAATTTCTTTTTTTAAATTCACGGTTCGAGTCAGACTCGGCTAGAGGCCGAGTTTTCCGCATCCGTAGGAACACCACCACCCTTCAAGGGTCAAGACGCAGATGCAGCTCCCGAAGCGGGGGGGGGGGGGGGGGGGGGGGGTGAGGAGATCAGCTCACCAGCAAAGTGGTCAAAGACCGAAAATCCCATTCACTGACAGCTGAGACGACAATTTCAGGCATGCCCCGTTACCAGGGATACCGCACAAAGCCAAAGGCTTGACCCTCAATGCGATAACAAATTATACACATACGTATGAGCGGTTTTCTAGGACACAACAATGCTATCAGACAGAAGAACAGAATAGTCTCCAAGAAGCAACATGTCAAAATGCGCTTTCACGGCCAGCCCTATGAATCTTTTTGCCGGAAAAAGACAGTTATTGCAATCCCCGACACCGTCCAGCCTCTCGACTGTCAGCAGTGTACACTCATGTACTGTTTTACTACTGGCATTGCGTCATGTGCAGACAGACTGGCGAGAAACAACAACTCGCAACCAAGTGGAAACAAAGCGGTTGCTTTGGATAGGGGAGAGCCGCGCAGACACAAACATCTGTATAATATACACCAGGCTGTGCACGAGGAAGTGAGACTCAGAAAGTCTCTCGGCTCCAAACGCACGTGTTTTCCGAGCATGTAGAATGTACTAGAAAGACATAGGAGCATGTTTCCAATGGACAGACAGGGACTGCGTACCTTTTTTCACACGAAGCTCGGGTGGCAGCAGGTTGTTCATGTCTTCCAACAGTTCTCGCGCAACTCCCCACTCCTGAATAACCTCGCACAGCGCAACATATCCATCGCGATGATAGTCCTGAATCCACGCGATTATCTCGTTGTTATGCGTGTCGCTCGACATCTTCTCCAACCTCCGCACTTGGTTCTTGGCTAGTAATCCCTTGTTCTGCAACCTGCGCCTTAACTCGATACCGTCAAGATCTTTCAATGGCAAGTCGATTTTCGCCACATAGTCGGGGTCGTCGAATGGGTTCTTATAGACTGCATAAACACCAATGAAAAAGAGCATGCAAGCAGCCATGCAGGATACACTGAACACAGAATAATGACAACTTCACGATAAAGCTCACTGGAGTTAAACTTATTAATAACCGGCCGTCACACAGTGGTTGCAGTGCACATCGGCAAAGTGTTTCCCCAAGTGCGATACGAAGAATGAATCAAGCTTCGACGGCGCATTGCAAAGCGTTTCCCAAAGCGCGATATGAAGAATAAATTAGGTTCTGAATGGCTAGGTGACAACACGGTGAAATGCAGGATCTGCTGGCAGAGTAGAGATAGCAAGTGACTCTGCCATGCAGGATTAGCCTGTACAAGAGCCCCCCTCCCCATCCTCTTGGTGTAGGAGAGAGTTGAGTGCCCTAACATCCGACACTAGGAACAGGCCTGGCCTGGACTTTGTCCATCATGCAGCTCTGCAAACGTGCAAGCGCCCGCTTCTGATGAACACAAGCCTGTGCATTGAACAGGTTAACAACTGAATCGCCGGGCCCCGCAGTGATATGCTGGACCGCTTGCAGGGGCATCGGAACCGGTGCGGCAGGTGCGGCCAAAGTCGCAACAATAAGTTTAAATAGTGATTATTGGAGCAATGAAATCTTGTACTGTAAAGCAACTTATTTTCGCTGGCGATATCATTTCGCTGATTTCGCCGCTTGGTACCAACTGGCCAAAGTAAGTTGCAGGCCAAAGTTTGTCACCGAGGCAAATGATGCATGAAAGAGGCATGGCTGCATGTGAAAGCAACGGCTACCGATCGTTTCTGTCTAAACCCCAATCGGCCAAAGTTTGATGACGGCCGAAAAAGTTTCAATTCGAGATCGGCCAAAGTTTCTCACCAGCCAAAATTCGTTGATATACAGTAGGCTATTTTGGCACAATTTACCAAAACCTTTCCCAGGTGGAGAGCCTTTTCGTGGGTCTTTTCATAGCCATACCAATGTAGGATACCTTCCAATGCCCCTGGCGTGTTTCACCACTGTACTGTCTACAGCACATTTAGCACTGTGTGCAATGGCAAATTGTGCCAGCTAGGAGGTTGTAGCTGGTCAGATGAACCACTACATGAGCGAGTAATACTGACAGTACTAAAAATTAAACAATCTGCGTGCACACACACGCGCACGCGCACGCGCGCGCACACACACACACACACACACACACAAGCGCGCGTGTACGCATGTATGCACGCACACACTCACCACACACACACACACACACACACACACACACACACACACACACACACACACACACACACACACATCGGTTCAACTAAAATAGCACACTCCATACATCAATATTGCTCTAGCATAGCGCTCAGCATAACACAGTGCACCACATGATGCTGCGCGACTTACACTTCTTCTTGGGTTCCTTTGTCGTTGGCGCCTCCGCTCCGCTACTGAAAGTAGAATGCACGAAGTAGAAAAGAGAACGGACCTATAAGTTACGAGTTATGACTAACAGTCCACCAAGGTAACGAGATGTATACTTATCGGCCCTTTCTTCTTTCTTTCTAAAGTAACACTATTGGCTCAACATCCGATTTTTAATCAGCATAAAGAAGAGGTTGAAGATGCATGAAAATGTTATGTGCATTCATTGCCAGTAGAGGCAGTTTGATATACTTTACAGGCAGAACATTCCGTCGGTCAATAATTTGGTCTACAGTCAACTTCGCTAATAACGACTGCGGATATAACGACAATTCGCGAATAACGACATAATTTCCATGCCCAGAGCAAAGTCCCATCCAACTGTTACACATATAATGAGACTTCGGGTATAACGACACTTCGCGAATAAGGACACTTTTCTGATGCCCCGCCGAGTGTCGTTATAAGCGAAGTTGATTGTAACTCCAAAGAAAGGGAGTTTGTCCGGTTGAAAATTTCGTCCATGGATCATAAGAGTGTATTGAAAAGCTGGACAAATCGACATTAGTCCGGCATTTAATTTAGTCCTAAAACTCCTCGGACGAAAAAGACGCAATTAAATTGCAGATGTATATTTCTGCTGATACGGTGGTGCTCCAAACACCAGAGTGCTGAGTCCTGAGTGTTGGGTGGCACACAAACACAGGTGACGGGTGACTGCTTATGCATGTCAGCTCAAGTCTCCATGCACTTGGGATGGCCCTCACACAGCGTGACCACTACGTCGTCGCTCGTAAGTTAGCGTGCCTTTACAACAGTAGCTAGCGTGCATGTAGGAATGAAAGTATGGCTCAGTATCATTATTATGCTGGGCAGGAGAAGATTCACCCGAACTCACTGCTATAAGCAGTGTAGCAGGACGGGGAAACCAATACAGAAAAACCTGTCAAGGCGACCACTCTGATAAGGCGACCACATGTTCTAGTGGACCACTACAACCAGGACCAGGGAATGGTATTTCCAGTCAAATGACCCTGGATAAGGAGACCACCTGTACACGGGAACCACATTTGTAAGGTCCCTTGAGCGGTCGACTTAGACAGGTTTCACTGTACCATGGATACTTGTGTGTAAATCAGTTATAGACTGGTGTTCACATCCTGGTCATGTGACTAAATGTGTGCACAAACTGGTCATGGCATGTTGACAGTGAAACCAACATGGCCGACATCGTGTGACCCATAGATGCGGGGGTTGAGCAGAGTTGGAACCAACATGGCCGACATCGTGTGACCCATAGATGCGGGGGTTGAGCAGAGTTGGAACCAACATGGCTATCCCGCATTGTTTTTTTTTTTTTTTTTTTTTTTTTTCTACAAAATCCACATATCTCCAGACACTGGGGTGAATGATGGAGTGTGGTGGTGGGGCCCATTAAGCTCCGCCGACCAGAGGTCTCGGCTTCACAGCTCCATGGACGCACCAAAGGGATATTGGGTGGGGAGGATTAAATTGTAAAAGAAAACAGAAGAAAGAAAATGGAAAGATTGTATTGCTCAGTGAGCAAAAGAATAAGTTGAATATTGATGTGAACGCTGTTAGACTTTTAAATTCAAGAGGAGACTGTCCGTGAGGAGAGATTACATGTATGTCCAAGCAGGGTAGGACACTGTACCCTCTTACTCGCGTATGCTATGAGTGGCCCAGTGCCAGTTCGTTCTGAGGAGATGGTGATAAGCTGCTGTCTTGAACTTTTGGATGTTCTTTGGGTGAAATGGGTGGGGAATGATAGAGGTAGGCAGCTGGTTCCAAATTGGGATGACGGAGTGGGGAAAGGCTCGGCTCACATTGTTCGTTGTAATGTGATAGATGTGAAACAATTCAATGCAGGTCCTCCCCCCCCCCCCCCCACACACACACACCACCACCAGTTCTTCGGCAACACACGACACTGTACTCACTCTGCTTGTTGCTGTTGATGCAGTCGACCTCCGTGCATACCCTTCTGTTCCGACCGCCTGACCACGCGCTTGACTGGACAGCAAAACATGCGCGTGTGTCAGAATACGCGTGCACGCACACACGTGCAGTGTCCACATACACACACACACACACACACACACACACGCATAACATGTATATGTGCGCACGCGCGCACACACACACACACACACACACGCACACACACGCACGCACGCACGCACACAAATATGGCACTTCATGGTCTGCAATGATACCCATGTATGACAAAGTACCATTGACCCCCCCCCCCCCCCCCCCCCCAAGCGGTGTCATTCTCCGTGTCGTTTTATATTCGGTTTTTCAGCTGGGGCGGCTGTTGACATGTACAAGTTGGTACAACTACACGAAAGATCAGGCTTGTCCTCCTGCATTGTGCACATTTCCATTCACCATGTACCATGTACCATGTATACGCGCGTCGCAAGAGAAGCACGCAAATCTGAAAATGCACTGGATGTGCACCCACAGATTTTCTCTTATAGCAACGATAGCGAACAAGATCTGAATGAGACAGATCAAGACTAGCGCCAGATAACTGTCTAATCCACACAACTGGCGAAGCCATGTGAATCGACCACCAATGCACACCTGGTCTACACCACACGGAGTACATCCATTCATATTTCACAGGCATACAGACACTAGCACGTATTGCCACATGTAGAGCATACGTGCGTTGACTGGACACCGTATTCATACGCATAACTGGACCTGAAGCCACTTCATCACAAGTAGACATTCGACAGGGACAAGAATTCAAAAGCGGGGCAAATCAACGGTACTTCGCATCAGTTTTATCAATCACAAGCGCCCCATTCAGAAGGAAAACCAACTAATGTTTTGCCCAGGGCCTTCGACGGGATGTGTGTATTCGAAACACAATGATAAACGAATGGGTTGCAATGCAGTCTGGCCAACCTGGAAAGGAAAGAAACTCACGGATTCACGTGAGATTCAGTTCCTGTAAACCCGGAAACCATTTTCGCGATCCGGAAACCTTCACGGTTCTTGCAATGGGTGTTAAATCGCAAAAAAAAGTAAGCCGGCGCGAAACGTAGAACTGCCGTGAAGAAACTGAAGAAATTGACTCCATAATCGCAAACATTTCCAGGAGTGAACTTGCCTGCGCTCGCAAATCGCGAACTAAAACCAGTGCATACGTTTCCAGGCTTACTGGACGGAGTTAGGTCTGCGGGCCGACCTGAAAACAGCTTCTGAATTCATGCTAGAATATCCCGTGCGGAACGGGCCATGACACGCAAGTGACCGAGTGGAGACTTGGACAGCCCGAATTGCCCAGCATGTAACCATAGCAATACACATTCTATGTGCTAGTCCAGGGTTAAAGGGGAAGTCCGGTGAAAAATTTAAATTTCAGGGTTGGTAGAGTTTCGGCCGCTGAGTCGAATGGTGTTGGTCCCACATGTCCCCGACAAAGCGTTCTCGAGATATTTCCGTTTGAAAAACTGAGTTTCGGGGGCTGCACCATGACGTCATGCGGCCGCGCCACACCCTCCGCAACGTCATAGCGTGCAGCTAGGTCAAAAGGAGTGTGTGAAAGCAATAGTGTCAGTGCTATTTCAAATGATTTGGCGACCCATAGTAGGTGGTGCAAGCGACTCCAAAGACGTAACTCCTTGTGAGAGTGAGGATGCAGCCATGGCTGACCTTCATGAGTTCGGTCTGGGGCTGAGAACCTCGGTATTCAGCTGAAGAAATGGCCGCGCGGGCCGGTCAAGAGTGAGCGCTACTGAGTTTCCGACTGATGAAGAAGCAGCAGCTATTGCAGACGAAGCTGATATAATTATCAGCTCGCTGGAGAGCAGAGTCGCCAAAATGGAGAAGAGTGATGCGAGTGCTCTAAGACTAAATGTTGTTCCATACCGATTCGCTTAGACTCCAGTAACCTGCCACATGGTGATGTTTTGGTGCGAACTTGGCGTATTTCGCACACTCAATTGGAGAACAGTGCAGGCTCTTTGAACTACGGGCACGACTCTTCGCTCGCAACGCTAGTGGATCTGAAAGTTCTAGGTCCGGGAGCTGTTCGCTGTTTTGTCACTTGTCACGGTTGTGCACTCATCGCTGCAGCATAAAATAATGAGGCGGGAGCGGAAAACTAAAATTTTCTTCCTCAAAGCACAACCACCACCGGCAAGGAGAAACGCTCGTTCTCTGACTACACGACTGATACGATTGTAGTACATGACAAGTCCGTGTGTTGACTAGTTTTCTGAGTCTTGTGACTCGATCGAGTCTTGTTGTACCTACCCCAGCATGGCAGTGCGAGAGTAGTTCCGTGTGTGATGAGTTTGTTGACTGCACTACAGCTAGCATGCACGCAGCGCATTGCTAGAGCCGTAGATAGAGGCCAGTGCATGTCGACGGAAAAAGTCCAACTCGGAAACGGCTAAAATACGGTATAACCTCGAGGTTTACCGAGCTGAAAATCACAGGGTACGTAGTGTTTGTAACACTGAATCGAATGGTCTTGGTCCGAAGAAGCTGCGATAAACGGTTCCCCAATCGAACGCACTCCGAATATGGCCGTTTTTGTACACATCTAGATGGTGTGGCCACCTGGCTGCACGCTGTGACGTCATCACCTGGATCTGGGTGAGGCGCGCTCAAATCCGCACATGTTCGATTGGGCGTATCTGACGAACCATAGGCCGCAGCCTCCACGGACAAAGACCATTCGACTCAGCGCCCCGAACTCTACGGACTGTGAAATTTAAATTTTTCACCGGACTTCCCCTTTAACAGCTACTTTTGGGTGCCGAAGATCGAATCGATATTTCGTTCTCCCTTCGCTGTGACCGCGCTCACACGGAAAGAGTCACCCGCGGCCAAGTCAATAATTCCCTGTCTTTACCCATTGTTCAAGCTCAAGCTGGATACAGATCTATTTCGTTCCTTGGTGCTGACCGCTTTAATACGCTTCCCGAATCCCTTCGCACAAATCATATCCCCAATTCATTTTGCTAGGAACTTAACAAATTCATTCATCTTGGGCACCCTGTAAGAAGACCTTAGGGTCTGTTGGGAATGCCCAAGTAAAATAATAAAATACAATACAATACATCTGCGTGGCGCTAACCGACAGCCTTCCAACTCGGAAGGTTCAAGGTTATGGGGTTATGGAAAGACCAAAGAGGGGAAGGTAAGCGCAACAAAAACGAGCACAAGCTACAGTCCCAACGGAACAAAGAATGCCGATTGTTACTGGACGATGACGAGACCAATAGGATACTTGACAAAGCGGTTTAACTACAATTCGAAGCAGCAAAGCAGCACACCACCCAACTTGGGTGGCTCATAATTAATATCAAAGATAAGTAAAGAAAGGGGAAGCTTTGCGAAAACGAATTGTACAAGCCAAAGGCAAACTCCTACAGTACTCCTCATGCATGACATTGTGATGGACTGGTTGACTTCAAACCAAGTTGTTTCACACGACGTACTTTTCGCCGTATGGTTCGTGACGGAAAAGGACTTGGGGCTCTTTACTTATCTTTGATATATTACGGGATTGTAGCTTGTGCTCGTTTTCATTGCACTTACCTTCCCTTCTTTGGCCTCTCCATAACCTTGAACAATACAATACAAAAAAATTGTTCAACTTCCTTTCTCCGCAGGAGGAGTGGTTGGGTGTGTTGGGGCTGAAAAACACTAAAACGTTTCACTTGGAAAAAACAATCGGTAACCCCGGCCAGCCACTTACCTGATTTCTCAGCAACTTCAACATTTTTGGCTGGTAACCATGGTGATGGATCCTTCGCCCAATTTCGGAGGTCTTCCATTGGCTTTGTGTCGCGTCCATGCTCGTCCCGGAGCTTCACCGCGGAATTACGCTCATCGGCACCTTTGACGTGAATCCCCACAACATAGCCAGTAGCAGAGGCCGTCTCAGCTTCGCCTTCTTTGGGCAGAAGGAAGACGGGCGAGCCACTTTGCCCTGGGCTAGAGTCAACAAAGTGGTGAAGCTGATGGCTGTGCTCTGCAAACGTAGCAGGGCGAGGCTTGTCAACCCAGTATTTGCGTTTCTCGGCCCTCTCTTCTTTGCCACCATAGTAGGTGTCCATTGGGTATCCGCACATGCGGACGTCATCCTCATTCTTCTGGCACTGGGTCGCAACGCCAAGAAGGTTTTTATCTGCCCAGTACGCTAGCGGACACTTACAGCGACTCTTCTTGGCTGTTATTATGCCATAGTCGTGTCGAAATAGGTCAGGGTTGCTCTTCTTCTTTGCATCCTTGGCATTCTCCTTGTACCAGTCAGCAACGATCAACCAGCCATTCTTGTTCTTGCGGGATATCTTTCCCATGGTTAGGAACTGCTCCTGAGATAAATCGCTGTAGATTTGTACCCAGAGCCATTCGCCGCAATCGTCGCAGAACAGATTATGTGCGGCAGTCGCGAAGATGTACTCCTCCTTGCGACAGTTCAGATCGCTGAGTAAGAAACACGTTCCTTGATAAGCCAGAGGCAGAGGTTGGCCTTTGTCGCAATTGTCGCAGCCCACCTCCAGGGCAAAAATGGAATGAAAAGGACTGGACGTTTCAGCAGGTGGCTCGTTCACGGTTACTCGCTCGTCCTCGCCCGGCTTTAGGCAATTCTCTGCAGTTCCGGTCAGACCCGCGCCTGGTTGGGCAATGACAGAAGATTGCCTCTCCGCCATCGTGCGTATGCCGGTTCAGATCAAGGCTCAGTTCACGACTCCCTGCGCCGAAAAGTAACGCGTTAGTTCGCACGTTCGCGTGCCTTTCTTGGTGTTTGCTGAGCGCATAGCTAGCGCCCACTTGCACTTAGTCTTGTTGTAAGTACTAGCAAGAGTCCGATCATGATAACCAGATAACCCAAGACTACAAGAGTATGCAACTGTGATCTCTTTTCTATGGGCCAACCGCGCGGCGCGCTGCCTTCATTACATCATTCAGCTGCAGTCCGCGCACGGCGCGCAGGCGCGCACTGCTGAAAATCAAACACCGCACTTTCCCTATAGTTTGAAATGAACTTTCGTACGGAACTAGAGTTCACGCGCCAGAATTCAGAGATTGTGTAGGTACTGGAACGAATCGAGCAAAAACGGATGGGCTCGTGCGAGAAATTGAGAGTTTGAATGCATGCTTTCAGAGCGTGATGAAGGCAAGTTACGTAATGAAGGCAGCGCGCGCGCCACGCATGCACCCATAATCACCATGATCACAGTTGCATACTCTTGGGTTATGGACTCTTGCTACTACTACAATAATCATGATACAGTGTAGATCTACCTGGTGTACATGATAATAATAAGTAACAGTTAGTTAGTACTTTTAAAATAGTAGTACTTTAGTAGTAGTACGTAGGCACTTCAGTCACGTGACAGGACCTGTCAAAATTGCCGAGGTGAGAGCTACTTGCGTGGCACCAGTCAAGTCACAACACACACGTTAGTGCATGCGCGCACTGTACAGGTACTAGGTACACGCTATTCTTCGCTGTACAAAGCTGATACGTATTGATAGTTGGGGCGCATCGAGTTGCTCTGACGTTCAGCTTTCAGTAGATCCCGCATACATCATAATATAGTGCGTACATTTTTGCGAGTTGTAGATCACGTACACTTCCAGCAAAGAGTTTTTTCACAAAGAACTGTTGTTTGCTAGCGTTTGAAACGTTGCTTATCGTCTTCAGCGTCGTCTTTCCATTCGGAAACAGTAGAGTTCTTGTTTACCAGGGTTTGCGCATTGCTGCGCAAGGAGACATTATGGACGTAGGTGTGATAACTCGCTCGGACAGCGTTCCGGTTAGTCTCGCCCTTGGCTGTGTCGTCTCTAACCCTCGGAACGTTTTGTGACAAGTATAGCACGGTTGGCATAACGCAACTTCACCCAGCCCTAACCCAACACACACATAACCAACTGATCTCGTCAGAGCAGAGAATATGTTCAGTGTTTGGAAGAAGAGCACCGAAAGAACCTCTCGCAAAAAGCAGCAGCATGCTATAAAATAACACATTGTAGAAAAAAGCAAGCAGCGGCAGTAGCGATAGTACTAAGTAAGCCTCTTGTACGGGCAAAGCAAAATAAAAAGAAGAAGAGAAGAAAAACTAAACTAAAAGGAAGAAAACTAAACTAAAAAGGCGCACCCATTTTGTTAAGCCAGGGGCTGGCTCACGCCTGGCATGAAAATGATAGATTGAGAACTAAAGAAATTAAACATGATGACAACTGTCTAGCTGACCACCAGCTGTGCCTCTGCTCGGACCAGGTCGACAGGGGCATGGTCAAAGTGACGGCGGCGAATTGAGCGTGATCCACGGACACAGCGAATAGCAGACCTGGCTAGCGAAAAGCTTAGCATGCATCTGAGCCAACACACCATCTGGCTGTGTACGGCGCATGCCTCTTCACGGCTAAAGCACTTGCCAGCCTCTTCACCGTGATGGCAGCTTCGTGGCCCATCCTCCCACAGGAAGAGAAGACCAGAGGGGTGAAGGAACCATGCTCGACGTGGAGACGTAGCGATAGTAGCGATAGTACTTGCTAAACATGCAGCTGAACTGCAACTTTGTCCGCTGCGCGGAACGGCGATCGGACACGCGCACGCACACACATACACGCACAGGTCTGCGTGATCTAGAAGCGGCTGCCATCATGATAAGATATGCAAAATGTGAAAGAGTATTAGAAAGGGGCGAGACTAGACCCGGCGTCTGGACCGCAATAAGTACATGTACTTGATTAAAAGCATAGCCAGTCAATGGTCAAGTAGGTGCACTCACGCACATCCACACCTAGCGTACTACTACTATAATTGCGAATTCATAACTACAAGTATTGCACTTTCTACCGCAAGTGCACAGTCGTGCGCTTCATCTATTGACAGCCAAACCTATCATTCTACAGGTAGGTGATATAGCTGGCACACACCGTATAGTATATTGTACAATAACTGTTCCAACTACAGAAGACATAGTGTGTCCACGTTCTACGCACAGTAGCTATCAGAAGTAAGTAATAGTTACAAGCCCTCACTCTCGGGCTATGACATCTCCCCGCGCCTTCGAAAAGACTGCCACGTCCTCGTGGCGACAACATTCGGCTTACCGTCGTCTTCTCAACTGGGTTGGCATCCCGTAGTACTGTGGTGGCCGGACGGTCCTCCCAACTCGAGTCTGAACCGCAATCTGGGCTGGTTGTGGCGGTGGCTGGTTGACTGGTAGCGGGATCTGCACAACTGGTTGGCCACCAACACCGTCCACGCCGCCATACGTCTCATGCTGGGCATCCTCATCAGAATCCCAATACAACAAGTCTGTAGGGTCCGGCACATACACATCAGCCGAGGGCGTTTCGACAGACTCAGCATCTTCAGGTTCCTCCAGCTCACTCACAGCGTGAAGATGGTTAGGCCTTACTCTACATCGTTTTAGCCTGTTCACGTGCACAATCTGCACCTTGACACTGGCCGCTCGTGTATCTCTCACCCGATACACTACGTCTGACAACTTCATTACTATTTCAAACGGCCCTTGCCAGAGCTTGGAGAACTTCGGAGTAGTCCCCACCGGAACTGCTGGTACCAACAACCATACCAGATCTCCTTCTGCGAATGAAACGGGTACTGCTCCCGAATCATGCAAGTGAGCTTGATGCTTGTGCACGGTTTCCAACTTCTTCCGCACAACTGCATGCACATGCGCTAGCCTTTGTCTCAAATCTCTGACATAGCTAGGCTCGCATAAGCTGACCATCTCATCAGGTGGTAAGCCATAAGCGACATCCTGTGGCAGACACATCTGTCTACCGAACAGTAGATACGCAGGCGTGTAACCCGTACTCGCCTGAGGCGTGGCTCTGTAAGCCATCAAAACCGCCGGCAAATGCACATCCCAATCTCGCTGATGCACATCGACATAGTGAGAAATCATCTTCTCCAATGTCTGATTAAAACGCTCTACCAACCCATTTCCAGCAGGGTGATAAGCCGTCGTCCTGGTCTTTTTTAATACCAAGCATTGAACAGACATCTCTGAACAATCTGGAGTCAAAGTTTTTGCCCTGGTCAGTGTGCACACTCTCCGGTGCTCCAAACCTTGCAACAAACTCACCCACAAACTTTGAAGCTATCGTGGATGCATCCATCCTCTTTAGCGGATACGCTTCAACCCATTTGGTAAAATAGTCAACAATTACCAAAATGTGCTTGTTGCCAGCATCTGTCTCTGGCAATCCGGGAATCAAATCCATTCCAACTCTCTCGAACAGATAACCCGACCAAGTGACCTCTAGTGGTGCGCCACTTCCACGTCCCACAGGTCTCGATCGTCGACTGCACGACGCACAACTAACAATCCAGTCTTCCACATCTCTCTTCATGCCATACCAGAAGAGCTTGGACTGAATCTGGTGATACGTTCTAGTCACGCCTAAGTGACCTAGATGATCATGGTACTCACTCAGCACCTGACCGCGCAACGCAACTGGCACCAAAATTTGAAACTTTGTGCCCTCTCCTGCGTTCTCACTGTGCAAAACGCGACATATCACGTCCTCCCGCACCACAAGACATTTTCGTCCTCGGAAATAATGCCTCAGAGCCGGACTCACACCAGTCAAGTCAGGCGAAGATGACCCGGAGCTGAGCCACTCACTCAGCCGTGTCAATTCATGATCACGTTGCTGAGCATCAGCCCAATCAGCTGATGTCCAGTTTCGTCGCCGCACAAAGGGCGTATGAAGGTCACTCTGGACCGACTCAGCATTCGCCACTGAGCTCCTTTCGTCTGATACCACAGCGATCACCTCATCAGGGACTGTGGTGCCACACCTCTGATCCTGCACTTGTCGAGACAAGCCATCAGCATTGGCATGGACTTTACCTTTCCGATAACGCACCTCGTAATCGAAATCACTCAGAAACTCAAGCCACCGCGCCACGATTGCACTTGGTTCTTTGAAACGGGTCAGGTATTTTAGTGCTTGATGGTCTGTGCGCACGACAAACCTTCGACCCAGCAAATAGCATCTGAAATGCCTAAATGCCCACACTAGTCCGAGGAGTTCACTCTTCGTCGAGCCATAATTCCTCTCGGCATAGTTCAACCCTCTGCTTGCATACGCAATAGGTCGCTCCCGACCATCTGCGTCGGTCTGGGACAACACAGCTCCCAAACCATGGCCACTTGCGTCCACATCAACTACAAATGGGGGCGCATCGGTCTCAAACCTCGGATACGCCAACGTGGGTGCTGAAGACATCTTCTGTTTCAGCAATTGGAATGCGATCTCACACTCGCCATCCCATGAAAACCTCTGATTTTGCCTCGTCAGCTTCACCAGCGGCCGAGAAATGGATGCAAAATCCTTCACAAACCGTCGATAGTAGCCACAGAAACCCATGAAAGAACGCACCTCTGCTACGTTCTTTGGGCACCGCCACTCTGACACGGTCTCAATCTTGTCCGGATCGGTGCGCACACCATCCTTCGTGACAACATGACCCAAGAAATTGACTTCTGTCCTCAACAGATGACATTTGGAGGGTTTCAACCGAAGACCAGCCTCCAGTAGTCTTTGGAACACTGCTTCCAGTCGTTCCAAGTGTTCGTCAAACGTCTTTGAGAACACGATAATATCATCGAGGTATACCAGGCAAATATGCCACTGCAAACCTTGCAAAACGGCACTCATCAGCCGTTGAAATGAGCTCGGGCCATTGCACACACCAAATGGCATCACATTGAACTCATAGTGCCCATCAGGCGTGGAAAAGGCCGTCTTGGCCCTGTCTGCCTCGTCCATTGGCATCTGATGATACCCAGAGCACAGATCAAGCGTCGAGAAGTACATCGCACCGCCCAACGCGTCCAACGTATCAT